CTGATACTCGGCACTTGACATATGTGTGTGCGGGATGAAAACAACGATTATCAACGATTATCCTAACTTACCCCCCCCCCCACACACACACACTGAATAGTTGACATTTAAACAAACAAACTATTTATAGATAATTTTCCTAATTTTCTCTGTTAGTTTTCACACTAAATTTCATGATATTGATATGTCATTGAAATAAACATAGAGATCTTTTAAATGCAGAACCAATATTCTTCTTAAAGTAGCCACCCCCCCCATTCAGAAAATATTGTCATAGTGAAAATTATTGCCACTTATCAATATTAAAATGTTATTGGATTATATGACATCATTGACATTAGATAAAGAGAAAAAAATATTTACTAAAATCCATAGCTAACTGGACGGGAACAACAGTTTTATATAAAGCTTATAGAAGATTATCACTTACATACACAATCAATAAACTGACTAATTATAGAGAAATAAAATTTGGCAATGGACACAATATAACACGTCTGGAAGTGACACTGTTAAACAGCAATTACTAACGCTATCCTCGCTTACTACTTATGGCACCTTTAGCAAAATATAGTTTTCTTGGGGAGACTAGCGGCTACATCACTTTATCTTATATCTTTTGCTGCTCTCACATTTTCAACATACTATTTTCAACTACGTTAACCCTATCGCACTCTCAACCGCATCACTTTGCCCCTTTGGACATGGACCTACAAGCGACCACCATGGGGCCGAGCAGAGGGGTAAAGGGGCATCTACCTTGTTTTCTGCAATCAGATGAGAGCGCCATTAGAAGGTTTTTCCGGTCTGCCCTCTCACTCTTGATAGGCCTAGACGTCAAATTCTTGGTGCTTTTCCGGCTCAGGAGAGAGCTGGTCCAACAAGCTGAACTTGCTCTCAGACCGCCTTCGCTGCTTACTCCCCGGGAACGAGTCTTCCTCAATTGCTCTGCCCATTGTTGACGCCCGTGCCTGTGTGTTGCTCCACGCCCCTAGTCGTCTCATTGCCGCTGCCAATACCTTTTGACCTAGAGCATACCCAGTGATCACTATACCAGTAATACTTTTGGTACCAATGAATATCTTAGAATTAATCCACCGTTTATGACACTATCAGGGAAAACAAAACTAACCCCTGCGATGAGCTCCGACGAACAGCCGGTCATAAAAAACATAATTACCAATTGTATCTATTTCTAAATTTCTGTAATCACATGAAAAACAATCGGAAGGCATACCGCACTGTCAATCGTAGCAATAAACATTATAAAAAAGTAGGACATTTCCTCCTCTACTAATTTGATGAAATTCTAAGGTTAACTCTACATCGTCACTTAGAAAAACTCTGCTAATTAAATGACAACGAAAGAGTCTCTTTAGTATCTTCCACTTGGACGAATAAGTCATCAATCCTTCCCTTCTAACTTCCATAATATTGGTTTCCTTCGCTTTTCCCTGATGTGTCGTTCCATTGCGGATCCTGCCTTCGGGCGATCGGGATTGTTTACTTCGACTAATTAGGGTGCTGGATCCAGTCCTTGGAAGATGAGAGAAAAAGAATAAGAATAGAAGCAGATATTGAGCTGGCGAAATTATGGCGTCTGTACATATATGGGTATATATATATACATACACACACACACACACACACACACACACACACACACACACACACACACACACACACACACACACACACACACACACACACACACACACACACACACACACACACACACACACACACATATATATATATATATATATATATATATATATATATATATATATATATATATATATATATATATATATATATATATATATATATGGATATATCAACATATATACACATATACGTGTATATAAATATGTATGTGTGTGTGTATTTATATACGTATGTATATATATATATATATATATATATATAATATATATATATATATATATATATATGTATATAACAGATGCCAAATTTCCTTTGATGATTCTACTTGGGGTGTCGAGTTGTTCTTGTGCTTTCCGTTCTTGGTGTTTTTGTATTCCGAACTTTTTACCCTATTATGATTATAGCCATATTGTGTAACTGACTCAGTGTATGTTGTGCTGTGAGACTTTGCTGGCAATACCCACAATGGTTTTAATTTACATAAGCGACCAGTTTAACATATCTACTTCATCCTGGATGTTTATTAAAACTCATTTCGACACAATATATATCATTGCATGCTCTGTTGCAATTTTCTTTTTCATTATTGTATTTGCAGTATTTTCATGAAAAAAAATCATGCATTACACAACACTTCCACTGAGGTATATTGACAACTTTTCCACGACTTTACCACCGTTATATTGGAATATGATATGCATACATAAAGGCATACGATCTTGTATGAAATGCAGGATAGTCTTTCCTGTCCATCGCTACAATACTTTTTTTCAGTTATCTTATATATGTCTGCTATCAATCACAACTTTTTTCCTTTTATTTTTAAACTGAGCAGACCCTCTTGAGAATAATTTCGGTTATTAGTGCTGTCTTCCTGTTCGCCCATTTGATATATGCCAAGCAGTTGAATCAGCGATGATGACTGATCCACTGATATTACGTTCTCCTTCGTAAAAACATACTGTCGGTCCCTGGGTTGGCATTCAGAGGCTGAAATGATCCCCTCATAATTCAGATCTTTAATTGACTTTATGATTCAGTTGAACCCAATTTAATTTAGAACAAGTCTTCGTCAATATCTTACTCATCTTCTACGGTAGCAGCAGTTCCAGTGTACAGGGGAAGAAAATCTGTTGTGCGAATTTTCGAGGAGCGAGTGAGTCAAAGGTCTAGATATTTAGCCCTTGAGTCAAAGAGTGAATATGGGTTTGCAGTTTGTATTAGCAGTCGTGTGTTCTGGAATAATCCCTACTTGTAATAGGATTAATGATAATGGAGATGATTATGATGATAAATCTGTCTGCCTTTCTTTCTCTCTCTCTCTCTCTCTCTCTCTCTCTCTCTCTCTCTCTCTCTCTCCTTCTCTCTCTCTCTCTCTCCTCTCTCTCTCTCTCTCT